TAGTACGTAACGTACTACACACACTACACACACACACACACACACACACACACACACACACACACACACACACACACACACACACACACACACACACACACACACACACACACACACACACACACACACTAGCAGCAGAGACACTGTCTTGGTAGTAAAGTGGGTCATGTGTATTGGTTCAACCTGGATCCGACACACTCACCTCGTGTGACCCGACACACAGATTCACACACTGATAAGAGTGTGGGGATAACTGCAGCAGTGGAAGAAATACTACATTTGTTAAAATACTTTGTTCCAAGTCCTGCATTCATATTTTCTTGAGGGTTTAATAATTATTCAGGCAGTTTCTTATATTATTATTTTTAAATGTAGGCTCTATGTGTGAAAGTAGGTGTTTTAATAAAAGAATGTAGGTAATATTTTCCATCCACATAATAAATAAAAAATGGACTAAAGTACCAAAATGAAAAGTACTTGTTAAGTGTACAGGCCCATTTTGGAATGATATGTCTGAAATGGTTGGATAATGATTATTGATGTATTAATGCTAGATATTTCAGCCCATAATTATAAATAATTATTTATTTATTCGTTGATTTATATTTTGCGTAAGCTAATAATCTCATTCTTTAAAGTATCTAAAGCTGTCAGATAAAAGTAGTGGAGTAAAAAGTACAATATTGGCTTCTGGATTGTAGGGGAGCAGAAGAATGAAGTAACATAAAACGAAAATACTTAGTTAAAGTACCTCAAAATTGTGCAGTACAACAGTAAATGACATCCCACCACTGGATACCTGCAGATTTACACTGCATATGGGAACAAATACAGGACACAACATTGTGTGCGCCCCCCCCCCACCCTCCTCTGCTCTCTCTATGAGACTCTGCTGCCTGGAGGACAAAGGTCAGAGGTCGTGTTGGAGCAGATTAGATGGGGGTAAAAGGGGTGAGGGTCACAGAGCAGGACAGAGCAGAGGGGAAAGGCCAGCTCATGTTTGTGGGCTCACAGCTGTGGCTGTATTAGGCACAACAAGTGTGTTGGAGATTAGTGTGCAGTTTCTTTCAGAATCCAAACATATAATAATGAAAGTAATACATTCCACCCGTCTCAGATGGTTTTAAATAACTTCAAGACACCGAAGAGGTACAGCAATCCAATATTTCACAATAAATAAGAGTCCAAAAGCAGATTACACTCTTAATGTGCTGTGTACTGTTAGCCCAATTTCAATTATGAACCAAACTACTAAACCTAAAGTAAGGTGGGGTTAAAAATAGCTCATGATTCATCAGTATACAGATTTTATTAATGTATATATTGATTTATCAAAGACAGCCATCCCTTTGCTCTACTTAAACATGTGTTCCTTTATCACCACCGTTTGATGATACTACTTTGACTTTCTGTAGGACTGTGACTTCTAAAGAGTGCTGTATTGGTATGATTGCTTAAGTTAATAAGAAGGAGAACGGGAGAGCCCAACACTCAACTTGGATTTGATTATTTTAGCCTTGATTTAGACTTCTTAAATGCAATCTTTATAAGTTCTGAGAGTGTAGCTTTCCCAATATATTTTTATTCAAAACACCAAGGTCATATAAATATGGAGATGTTTGCATGTACGATAGCGCAAAGTGAGGAGTTGAAGCAGGAGGAAGATACAGCTTGGAGGTCGGAATGCAGAGAGCAATCCTCGCTCGGTCAGCTTTGTTTACAGTTACATGTATCTCATAAACGATATCAGATCAACATGGATGCACCGACACCGTGATGGAGCGGAGGAGTCTGAGCTGAGTGGAATGATAATCCAACAGCAAAAAATATGCCTGGAACCATGTAACTATGTCAAATACACAGCTGAATTTCCCACAGACAGCAAGACTTCCCAGATGCACAAACTGCAGCAAATCAACTAGTTTGTGCATAAGGGAACTATTCATGCTCCATAAAGGCTTCTTATGAACACACGGCCATGTATTAGAGTGGACAAGCTGTCACAAAGCGTTTTCTGCTGCTGGACATCACAACCGTAAAATCGTGGTAATGGCAGAAACAAGAATTACAGCCGAAGGAAGAGACAGACGTCCATGATTAAGAATGAGTTGCAGCTTCGTGGCTCCGGCACGCACACTTCTGTGTTCCAGGTCGAAACAATAACATTTACTGCCATGACAACAAACATGCTACAAGGGCACTGTTGCAAAGCCTTTCTCTGCTTATCAGAACTCACGAACCCTGCCAAAGTTATAATGAAGAGAGGAGCAGGCAAGAAGAGTGGGAATAAGTGACAGCAGTACAAAGGGAAACACAGCAGACTGAAAACACAAGTGAAAACAGATAAGATAAACAGCAGCAGCCTTGGCTTGGTTAGGAGGATTCAGAGGCCTTCAGCAGCCAATAGAAATACAACAAAGGGAACCAGACCACTTCCTGGAAAAGGGTCTGATTCGTGTGAAACTTCACCAAGGATGATCTGTTGCTCAACAACTCACCTCTGAGCTCGATAAAGACCTCATTACAACTATCATAGTACATGTACATTATGCTTGTTGCTGATCTGGATACAAGATGGAACTTGTCTGATGTATTAACAATAAGTTCAGGTGCACAGGGCTATTGCATCTTCATGTGTCCAAATAGAGTGCTGCTTGGAGGATGTTTTTGTAGGCAAATCTGAAAGTCAGAATATTTCTAGTTCCCTCGACAAAGCAAATGGAATTTTTCCATTCGATTTTTTAATAACTCTGTGGCAAAATTGTTCTTCAGTGTGTTCATCTCATAGACTGTATATATAAAGGTTCATCTTAACAAATGTTGTGTTTTTTTATAGCATTCATTACATTTCAAGATGGTCTGAACTTGCCCCCTAACATGTACAGTATGCATCTCTGAGAGTGTGTGTCTCTTTCTCAAACCAGCTGAATGTCAACGTCAGCATGCTAACATACTAGTGTTAGGAACATAGAATGTGTACTATGTTCACCATCTGCGTATAAGCATGCAAACATATGCTCACTAGAAGAAGAAAAAAAGGAGTATGTCAGAGGCTTTTCAATATCAGTTATTTGGTAATGCACAGAAATGTTGGAAAAATGTAACATTTTTAACAACCAAATTATTTGTTGTTTGACATATCTAAAACACAAACCACATTTGTCAAATAACCCTTAACAGCTCATAACCCTCTACACTTAAACCTCATTTGCACAACTATTGTTGTTTCTCAAAGTTGCCCTGTGACTCAGATGTCCCTCCCTTTTTGTTGTTACAGCAGCAGAGCAGAAGATCAGCTCCACAGACACTCATGAGCAGTGGCTTTGAGTCAAATGTGAATTTGGGCAAAGTGGTGTTACAACAGTGTCCCCCAGTGGTCAAACAACCATCATTTGAATGCATGACTTTGTATTACCATGGCGTCAAATGATTTACGGTTGCTTTTTTAGTTTTGATGCAAAACACAAATATATAATATATGTACATCTTTTGCTATGCAGCCTTGCATTTCTAAACTATTTTATTTCTTAAAACGACAAGAAACGACAGTTTCATTTACAGTTCAAGATGACTTGCTTGCCAAACTTTAACCAAAGTCTTTCCAGAGGTTGTTTAAAATGTGATTATTATACTTCTGCAACTCTTGCAGCATCAACTGTATTTACAAAGTCGATTTTAACAACCGTATATCTCTTTTATGAACAGTCTACCTTTCTGTTTGTCCATTTCATTTCCTCTTGTGTGTTAATGGTTATGTATAGCACTGGCCTGAAATGCACCATTCAAAAAACTAAAGTAACTTCATCCTTGACACAAGTTACACTACACACTGTATAAAAGTGGAATCACCTCAAGGTATTTCATATGTTTCATAAGGGCCAAATCATAATTTTTTGTTGCTAAGAACTTTTGTTGCACTATTCATTTTGCCTATTTGACCTTTGTTGCAAATACATGTCTGATAACCACTGGCTGTGATGTAGTTTGTATTCATGGGGAGAATCCCATTGTAATGGTGGAGCGGTTTGAGAGAGGGAGAAGCAGCAGACCTGTTCTTTTTCGAGTGCTCGTCCTTCCCCTTCTTCACTCCGAAGATCCTCGTGATCAGAGTGCTGAAGAGCAGAGTGGAGGAGTTCCTCACCTGGGGAACACACAAGGGGAAAGGTCAAGGGAGGATATGAGACAGGAAGAGAGAGTGTATGTGTGAATGGCTAAGTGAATCCAGTCTAAGCCCCTTCTCTATAAACAAGGAGCGGCTGTTAAATGGTGGATCATGACATTTAAATTCCCAATTTTTTTGAGTGTCTTTACCTGTTTTGTTCTCTGTTTTTTTAGTGTGTCTTAATTGTATGTATTTGCATTGTATCATATGACTTCTCCCTGCAGAACAAGTAGACTTGTTGTTGTTGACTTTAATTCTTACTGGACTTTAATTGAAGAAAAAAAATGCTCTGCTAATTCAGTGCATTGATACCATTTCAATTCTTCAAAATAGTCCCTTGTTTGTAACCTGAAATACCTTGTAATGTAGAAGTATATCACAAAAATGCAGTTTTTTTTTATAACCCTAAGACAATTATGAAATGTTATTGAGATCGCAATATGGGCTTATATTTCTTAAAGGTTAAATATGTGTTCAAACACCATAATAAATGAAGTATTGTGGGGCTTTAGAGCCTTGATGTTGTGTTCTATAAATAGAGACTTTTGAACATATCTCTTTGGTACAGATCCTCTTCAAAAGTCAATAAGAACATATCTTGAATCATATTGCACTTAGAATATCAGCCAAAATAATTGACTACGGGCGAGAAGGTGGGTCGTCGCTGGTTTTATCAGAAGCTGGCAAGATGTCCCTAAACCTGCTTAGAGTCCGCACAACTTGGCGCGCTAAAACTTATAATGGAAACACAAATCAGTGCAGCATGATTTGACTCAACACAGCCAAAAGGGCCAATGTAAAAGACGTAATAGTGGATATTCTGTGATAATGTTAAACTTGGAAGTGGAAACTCACTGCCCAAACAGGAGAGGTGAAGCCCAGAACAGCAGCCTGCATTCCGTCTGAGACAAAGGGAATGATGTTCTCCCCCAGACGGGTGTCCCGGTACAGAGCCCTGAGGATGTTCAGAGCGTGGACCTGTGAAGAGGTAAACGGATCATTTAAACAATATTCAACAGTATCTTGAAAGCACCACTTGATTTAACAGTTTAATCTTGTTTCCATGCTGTTTGGTTACAGAACATGTTGACCTGTTTAGCCCCGAGCCTGTTTTTCAGGTCTCAGGCTCAAAAATGACATTCCCAGGACAAATGACCATATTTTCACTTCTAAAAGGGTTAAATTAATCAATATAGGATGTGTTTTATTTTAAAGTAAATTCAGATTGAACATAGTAAAAAAAATTAAATTATTGTGTCCGTCCAAAAAAAAAAACATTACTTACAGTATAGGGAAAACCACCCTTGAATGATGGGATCGGAGACTAAAAGCTTTAGGAATCCAAACTATTACATATAATAAGTACCCTGTATCAAGTTTGATGCAAAAGTGACATTTGACCTTTTTAGAGAGATTTAACAACAAAAAAAACACTTCTGGGGTCATTTGGGTGGATTTGACCTATCTTTGGCCCCCCTTGGTCGATTTTGATGATTGACATCTCTTTTTAACCGCTAGAGCCAATAGAATCGAGGGGAAGGAGTGAGAGAGACGCGTAGCCAGAATACCCAAAACAGGAAGCTGCCATACACTCTGGAAGCTATCATTAGCAGCTAATATGAAAACATAAAAATGTTATTATGGATTATCAATAACCTTTTCAAAGTGACACAGACACATTGGATTAACCTTCAGCCGAGTTTCTCGTTTTAATGCCATTGAACACAATTTTTGATCAGAATAACAGCAAAAGGTGAGCATATCTCCGTGTTTGGCTACCTAAAGCTACGTCGTGTGTTGTCTGGTCGCGAGTTCTGATCACTCAGTGATGATACTTATATGTATAGAATCTGTGGAATCTCAGCTTGCTAGCAAAGCTTGTTTGTGCAGATCAAATAAGTATATCGATCGATTTATACCTAGAGTTCTGTGCTAAGTGCGTCAGCACTTTTTCGCTCAGGGCTCATTTAGACGCTTTTTGTGAGATTTGTGTTTTGTTTCGTTAAAAATTGTTCATATCGTCAATTAGCTTAGTTTCTTCCCGTTAAGTGAGTATGACACATTCATAGTTTACTAAATTTTAAGAAGCCCTGAGACACAGTTTCGTGAACAAAAAAGCCTGTTAAGCCCCGTAGCCCCGTAGCCCCGTAGCCCCTTAACAGGTTAAAGGAACCTAAGGGAAGGTCAAAGTGTATGAGGGATTAAAAGATCTTAAATCAGTCACAGCAGCATTTTTTCCCAGGTAAGACCGGACCAGACAAAGGACTCATGCATGAGCTGCTGGGGGGGGGGGGTCAGACCTGAGGCACGGTGGAGCTGTCGGTGGTCGTGTTGGTGGAGGGCATGGCCAGAGCAATCAGTTCTCTCATGGTCAGTTTCAGCAGACTGCAACTGGACAACTTGGGCTCAGAGGAGAGCAGGGCCTGCAGAGGGAAAATGGAACACATTAAAACACAATATTTTCAGTAATTACCTTGTAACACTCCTGAATTCTCAAAACGATAAAGCAGAGCATCATTGCATTATCTTTCCTTGTCAAAATCTGGTGCTCTTTTACCAACAATGCAATTCTGAGATTTGGATGAAGTCTTCAGCCTCAACCAATGATGCATGAAGTGGAATACATATTTATTTTTGTGCCATTCCATAGACCCTCCAGAAAAACGCGATTCTGCGATCGCAGAATTTACCGCATAATCGGCAAAATGGCGCAGATTTTTAAAAGGCCGCATATTTATCAGAGGCTGCATAATCCCCGCATTTTTCCACACAAAGTTGAAAAAAAAAAAAGTTACCTCGTCTTGACGTGAAGTGATGATGATGACGCGACGTCATCAGCTCGCGCATCACAGAAGGTAAACAACACCGTAGAGTGAACGTGTGGAACTCACACGAGAGAGAAAACAACAAGATGAAAAAATATGATCCATCTCATTTACCGACGAACATTTCTGCTAAAGACCGGGAAAAGCAGTACCCCGATGTCTTTCACGAAAGTGGGGGGAAACTATTCTGCACCCCGTGCAACTGTGTGTTGGAGCATACGTCTTAGAGAAAGTTGACGGTACGCCCACTTTGATTCATTCAAACATTCGAAAAATGCTTTCTGCTGCTGCGGACAAGAAAGCCAAACAACTCAGGTTCACCGAGGCATCAACCTCCAAAACCCTTTCGAGGATGAATAAGAAAGGGGTTTAACATTAGTGGCAGGTTGTGTGTGAGAGAGAATAAATATGACAGCCCAATATTTTTTAAAAAAATCTATTATTTTCCCAACTTCCCGCAATTTCACCGCATAAAATCATATAAAAACCCTGCATGTTTAATTGCATAATCAAGGATTTTAGCCCGCGTTTTTCTGGAGGGTCTAATTCCATTTTATTAAACCCAAAGAACTACACAATTCCGTGAACTCAAAAGTTTTGTTTTACTTGAGGATATAATTGTCTTTTTTTATGACAGTAAGCAGTTTGAGCAATGTTACATAAAGTGATATACCCTTTGTTAACAGTTATTACAATATACTGTATTGTTTGCCATTCATTTATATTTGTATTCCCATTTGCCTCAATACTTTAAGTTAGGGCTGCACGAAATTGAAAAAAAATGACATTGAGATATTTTTTTCCCCTGCGATATATATTGCGTTTTTTTTAACTATATTTAACCGGATGAAGGATTTTAGTCACGGACGTCTGAATCTTAACTGGTTGACTCATCATACCTTAAGTCATGATCTAACATGTCATGATAATGCATGTTGCTTACCCTCAAATAAGGGGGTTCATCTGTGAATGAAGAAGAGAAGAACCTTTTTGTATCCAAAATAGTTCCAGATGGCAGATGNACGAGACAGAACAAGCCCCCCAACAAAACAGGCAGGCTTTCTCGGCTGCGTTGCGTTCTTGGAGTGCAGATACCTAAAATGAAAATCAGACAAAATGCTTGCTTATTGTTTTTAGCCAATTACCTCTATTGGCCCGCTCATGGACAGGGTTTTTGCGTTCGGGCTCGACGCGCTAAATAACAGCCAATCGATCCAGTGCAAATCATGTATTAGACACAAGTTCACAAACGAAACTGTGAAAACAACAACACACACACACACACCACACCACACACACACACACACACACACAGCACCACACACACACACACACACAGCACACACACACACACACACACACACACACACACACACACACACACACACACACACACACACACAACATCACAACACACACACACCTAGAGAGTTTAGACTGCAGGTACTGCTAATACTTTAGGAGTAGTTGTTGCGTTCAGATAAATGTTTGAGATTTTTCAATTGGCTGGACGAGAGCAGCAGTGCCGTGACCTCTTGGGATTTGATTAAGAGTATGTTCCCACACGCTAATGTATCTTTCTAACCTCTATGGAGTTACACTATTCTTGTGATAGTCATTACACCAAGGGAGGTGAGCTCTGCTGGACAGAGCGCTTACACCTCATTGTAATTTTACTGCTGCTCATGGAGAAGAGTCGCTTGCACCAGTAACTAGGAGTTCGTTATTAAGGGATGCATTGGTATAGCATACGGCACTGGCTCACATTATCTCCAAGAGCATTGAAGTGTGGTAAGCACCTTTAAAGCGTTTTATTTGATCCGTTAATAAAAACGCCAAAGGAGAAGGAACAAGAGGCAATCATTGCAGAGTGATCTAACATGTCACAGTGTGGACTTTTTGTCAGTTCGGAGGAGAGGTACTATGTTTTTTAGTAGAACTAATTGTAAAATCACTTGAATATGTTTGTTTAGGTTACAGCTACGTGAATATGAAATACTAAGTGCTAACGTTTTTTTCTGTTTTTTTCTAGGCTTAAAAGAAGAGCTACCGGTTATGAAATGATTTGATCAAAATCAATTTGGAATTGAACGGGGATCAGAAGAAAAAAAAGAAGATAATATTTTTTTGATATGTGTGTGTGTGGTGTTGTGTGTGTGTGTGTGTGTGTGTTTGTGTGGTGTTGTGTGTGTGTGTTTGTGTGTGTGGTGTGGTGTGTGTTGTGTGTGTGTGTGTGTGTGTGTGTGTGTTGTGTGGTGTTGTGTGTGTGTGGTGTGTGTGTGTGTGTGTGTGTGTGTGTGTGTGTGTTGTGTGTGTGTGTGTGTTGTGTGTGTGTGTGTTGTGTGTGTGTGTGTGTGTGTGTGTGTGTGTGTGTGTGTGTGTTTGTAGCACGGACCTGATGATGAAGGGCATGAATGGAGCGAGTCCCAGAGGTGAAGAAGATCCATCCATGGGAGAGGGGTAGAGTCGGCTGAGCACCAGCAGCAGCAGGAACAGACTGGGGTGAAGCTTCACCTGACCACTGTCACTAAACACACACAAACACACACAGTCAGGATTTCTGAGTGCAACATTAATATGACCTTAAAAGAGCGGGGTGCAAAACCTGCAGTCATAGAGGCGAGGTGAGACATGATAAAATACAAAACATATAGATGTCAGCGTAAAGCTAATGCAGCTCTGGAAAAATGAGGTTTAGCATCTGGTCCTTTTTCTCCATTTAAGGATACATGGGAGAGATCCAGCCATGTTTACATGTTTGATTCTGAGAGGAGTATGTTGAATACCAAAACCATCAACTAGCAAACATTTGAGATTGTTAGGTGTAGTATGCCTCCATTTGTTTATGTTGTTTGCTCGCTTGTTAACTTGAAACTGGCAGTGGGTGACACAGCATTACAATATATTTTTTGATTGACAGAGGAAGAAAGCTCTTGCTTGCATCCAAAAACGTCACACCATCCAAACATCCACTATGCTAATGCTAAATCTCAATACTGACAAGTACCCTCAGCTATGGAGAGTTCATCGTTCCTGGCAGATGAGGAATATAATATTGTTTTTAAGAAGGTTTGCAGTCTCTATATGTCAGCATGGGGTTATTATACAGCTTTTAGTTTATTTCAAAGTAGCATTTAAAGAAAAATATTCAAGTTAATTAGAAGTTACTTGGATTAGTATTTGATTACATCACTTGAGTAAATTTGCTCAGATACATTCATCTGATAATTGACAAATTGTATAGTATGTGATATTTAGATAAATAAAGAAATAGCTGTTATAAACAACTGGGAAGAGAAACGTGTTTGGATTAATTCTCAGATTGAAAGAGAGTGTATTTTCCATAGGGATCACATACATTCAACGTTTCAATCGCACATATAACAGGGAGAAATTCCCCTAAACCACCCACATTATAATAAAGTTATCTCCTCCTCAGTCCCTGAGCTGAGCTTTTATACTTCCCTCTTTTTCCTCCATCCAAATCTCATCCCTGCCAACTGAGTCAGAATGGAAACTGTCTGTGTCTGCCAGCGGTTTCACAGTTTCACTCTGAAACACTCACAGTGGAGCAAGAAGGGAGGGAGATTGAGAAACAGACAGGAAGTCCAATTACACTACAAAGTAAGGAAAAGTACTGTTTGAATATCAAGTATCTAAAATGGAGAAGGGCCATGCTTTGCCTTCAGAACAGTTCTTTTCCTTCTTGTTCTGGTTTAACAGTCCAGCTGTTTGTGGGATAAATAAAGCAGGAATCAACTCTCCAAAGGTTCAGTGAGTTGTATTATCCTGGAGTAAGATTGTTTACTTTATCTTGGTTATCTTAAAAAAAAAATCGAATTAACAGCATTTTATTTATTTAACCTTTGTTTAACCAGATAAAAAAAGCATTGAGATAAAATCTTATTTTCAATGCTGACCTTTCCAAGAAGGCAGCAACGTTACACATAACACAAACATATAAAATACAGAGAACATACCTAAGAAAACAAAAGATGAAAAAGCAGTCACTACATTGTGCACATTAGGACAGTAAGAAAGGTACACTACTTATTACTGCAAGAGCAGCTGGTGGTAAGGACTCAGACAACTTCGAATTTGAAAAACAGCTATTGAGACAAGTGCCGTCAGTTTGAGGGTTGACTGAAAGGTCATTCCAAGACCGAAGGACATAATAAAAAAAGGACTCCTTTTTCCAGCCTCAGTTCGCACGGCAGGAACCTGGGAACCGTATCCAGGCACTGGATCTGAGGTGTGTGAGAGTCACAAACTGGGGGCAAATCTGGCACATATATACAGTGGAAGCTTACCTAAAATGGCTTTTATACATTAATAAAAACCACATGCTGCATCCTAACGGCATAGTAAGTGAGGACCATCCAGTTAGGCTATCACAGTTTGCAATGATGAGTCCTATAGGGGTTGCATTTGATTTATATTTGCAGTGCAGGCATGGTAGAGTGGGTCAAGTTTGGCCAAAACAGTGGACAGCAAATCTATAAATTGGTATCCCCGTAGTCCAGCTGGGACAGAATAAGCCAGAGACCAACCTTTTACGGGATGAAGTTGAAAAACAACATTTTAAAGTCCCATGGCCATTTCCACTGATGATAATTTCCATTGTTGAGGTATACTAAAATAGAAAAATAGCTGGTCCAATTTTCAAACTCACATTGGTTTCGCATACAGGATCTCTGTAAATTATGTGAATTCCAGCAGTATTCACCTTTCTCCACTAAGCGGAGCAGCCTCCCCCGCACCCCCTCACTCCTGTGATCCCAGTGTGCTCTGATTGGCGGTACGAATCGCGCTGAGGGCTCCGTGGAGATTGTGTTTCCTTGTTTAGCGATTACACAGCCAAACACAGCCAAACCAACCTGAACACACACAAAGTCACAGCCGAAATAAAAACATATAAGTGTGGCTTGATATTGAGTAAGAAAAAGGTTTATAGGTTGATAAAACGCTGTGAGAATGGGTCTGCAGAGAGAATTTTGCCACGATACCAACTGTCTGTTATCAGCCTGCAGCAGGGAGGAGAGATCAGCAGAGCTGCCTGCACTGAGTGTGTGTGTGGATTGGCAATTGGACCAATCAGCGGGCTCTTAACGTAACGGCTCGGCGGACGTAATGTAACGGCTCCAGGATTGGCCCATTGTTAGTTATTTAGTACGTGCTTTCGTAAGCGCGTACCCGGAATAATCGAATGGATGATGACGTTTCACCAACGACGCGTGTTTGGGGAAGTGATTTTCTGTGTAAGTTTTACTCGCTACAGGGTGTACTTTAAGGGTTTTGACTTGAGAAAAACCTTCATAACACACAGGGGACGGGTAATAACCGGAAAAGCATGACATGGGACCTTTTTATGTCTGAAAAGGAAGCAAGAGTGAATATTCAATGTCTTGGTTCGAACTTCAATATGGTGTTTGAAGTTCAGATTACTGTCCAACCCAAAAGCCCAGATATTTGTAGTTATCGACAAACCTCAACAGAGGACGCCATCAAGGGTATCAATGGAGAGGCAAGAGGACGCTGACTTGGGAGCAAAAAGCATTGCTTTGGTTTCTTACTGTTCAATAGCGTTTGAATCAAGAGTGCATGTGGCTGCAGCGTGATAAAATCAGATTTTGAATTGGACACGGCCTATCCAGAGAAGGGGCACATGAACTATTACGAATAGTGTGCATTATTTTAAGACTGTGTGCGGCAGTGGCTCGGTGTCTGTAGGGACTTGGTCTTGGAACGCGGTAGGGTCACCTCCCGATCGGGAAAAAAAGGTGCCCTGGCAAGGCACCTAACTGCTTCCTTGGCGCCGGGCACCTGGGCAGCCTCTCTGCTCTGCCACCTCTGCCTATCTGCCATGTGTTGCGTTGTGTGGCATGTATATCCTCCCCTGTGTGTGTAATGGTGTGTAAACACAAGTGAGAAAGAAATGGTCCCTGTAAGGGTAGTTAATAAAGTATATCTTTCTACTTCTTCTTCCTTTATTCTTATATATAATCGAATATGGTATAAAGACTAGCAGAACTATGCTCTGTATGCCAGTAAATGGTTAATGGATTACGGATTTGGAGCGTCTCAGTGTTGTACATTGGCTGTTTCCATTTTGTTTTTTTAAAGTATAAACTAAACAGGATCTTTTTTAGTGCTACCAAAATGTGCAATTATTTTTTACTGTAACTGTAGAAGTCTTCATCTTTAGGAGAGAACACAGGACAACACCACAACGGGGACACTGTGGTAGCCAGCTGTCAATCATAAGGTAGCCCCGCCTAAGAGAATGTCATGCTGTATTGAAGACTTGAAACACGATAATGTTGACTAAGGTAATAAATGAAGTTATAAGGTAAGGTTCATTTTCCTCATAGACTGTCTATATACAATTCCACACTTTCCTTGTCCGCACTGGTGGGTCTGCTGGCCATTTGAAAGAAAGGCATGTTCTGCACTGGCTTTATTACGTATAAACAGAGAAATTCATGCTTTGTGTATATGTAATGGAGAATACATTCAAACTAGGATAATGTTGACCGAGGTAATAAATCCAGTGAGAAGTAAGGATCCTTTCCTCGCAGATGCAAGGCAGGGAGGTGCCCCAGCTGAGCTTAAAAAAGCAGGTGTGAGGCCCGCTCCGCAGAGCGTTCGATGCTTTATTCTTGCTATAGGTGGGCTGCCTTGCTTTG